TTTTATTTTTCAGCAGTGATTCCGCTGGCCACATTAAAGAGCAGTATTGTTGGACATTTTTGTGCACTCATGTCCTGTGCTAAAAGGATAGTGACAATGATAATGCAGAGAGGCGCTCAAAGTAGGGAATATGAGGATCCCAAGGGTTTGCAGTACATCCCAGAGAGAGGAGTTTTCAAGGGAAGAGAGGCAAAATGTAATGAAATCCTAGGCCTAGTCAGCACAATAAATTTGTATCAGTTAAAACTAAATTGATCTAGAAACTGACGTAGTTAAATCAGTGCAACTGTCTTCTTGTGTGGGCATTTTAATTTTGGTTTGTTTACTTTATATCGATTTACTTTAAATCAAGTCTGACATAAGGAATTTGTAAATTGAAATCAGTGTGTGCAGTTCTCTTCTTGTGTGGACAAAATTAACTAAATCAGTTTCTGTATAGCAGTTTAGCTAAATCAATATATTTTTCTTGATCCTTTCTCTGACATAGGCAGATGTTGTTGTATCCTTTGAAGTAGAACCATATCTCTCTCTCCAGCACTTACAAGCCTGATTTGTAAACTATTTCTTTAAACCTATCTGTGTTCTGCAGATTGTACAAAACTCATCTGTTTGATAAAATGTTGTGTATTTTGAGAAATGACAGTTTTCTCCCCACTGATCTTTTTTTTCTTTTTCTTTTTTTCTTGGCCTAATTAAACTGAAGGAAAATGGTTAGGTCGGTGTAATCCCCCTGCTTTCGTCTTATTTTTCCTTTTGCAGCCCGACTTTCTAAGTCAAACATGATTTTTATTTTTTTTTTATGCCAATGACTGCTTGTATTAATGTTTCAAGATGTTCTAACCTGCCTAGAAGACACAGACATCCAAGTTTGTTTAAAATAGTTTCTATCAGCATAGCATTCCTTCACAGACCCATCAGCCATTGGTGCATCATGTTTCCGGCTGTATGTTTTTTACTGGAGATAATTATTAATAGCTCTGTAGTAACCTCAAACTGCCTTCTCTTTGCAGTTTCCTAATAATTATCTTAAGCAGTTATTTAAAGTAGCAATTATCTTTGAGTCAACCACCAGGCTGTTGATTCTACATTCTGAAATATTGGTCTTGTATTTATTTACTTTGAAGATATGATTTTAACTTGTTAAGGGTTTTTTTAAATTCTAGCTGACTAGATTAAACTGGTTTTGAGCTCTTTCAATATCTTGTGCTAATTTGTACAATAGGTATATATGGAATACAAGGGAAAACTTGCTTTAGCAGATGCAGACAATAGAGGATAAAGCTTTTCATTAGTGTAACTTTAACATTTCCTTGTCCTTCCTGTCTAATATGTAGTAATTTATTCACCAATTCGTTGTCATTTTGAACAGTCTAGTTGGAGTGGATTCTCAATCAAAAACAAAACAACTGCACTACTTTTCATTACTGATATGAGCAATGATATACAGTTTGATACAGTCATGTTCAATGCTTTCTGCATCAAAAGCTGTCATTTCTATTTTGAGAGGAAAAGATTCAGGAATCTCAACTTTTCTTCATGTGGTACAGCTTTCACTTTCGGAAATAATGAGTCATAAAAGCAAGTCCATACAGTAGAACCTCAGTTACGATACCTCGGGAATGGAGGTTGTTCGTAACGCTGCACAAAACGTTATGGTTGTTCTTTCAAAAGTTTACAACTGAACATTGACTTAAGTCAGCTTTGAAACCTTACTATGTAGAAGAAAAATGCTGCTTTTAACCATCTTGATTTAAATGAAACAAGCACAGAAACCGCTTCCTTACTTTGTCAAATCTTTTTTTAAACTTTCCCTTTATGTAGTTTACATTTAACACAGTATTATACAGTATTTGTGCGGGTGGGGGGGTTGTCTCTGCTGATGTCTTATTGCATACTTTACCTTTTTTGCAAATGCCACCTTGAATAAAACTGGGGGAAGGGTGTTAAAAATTTGTATGTGTGTTACTTATCTTGGGTGTATTACTTATCTTGCGCTTTACTTACTTTCAGAATTTTGCTGAGATTGGACAGTCTAATTAGATTGTCAGTTTCACTTTCTGTTATCACTAACGTTCTTATTCTCACCCACAAAAACAATGCTACAGTGTTTAATTAAACTATTTTCATTAATGCAAATCATGAAAACATTTCTGGTTTGATTTTAGTGTTTGTGAGAACTTTTTACTGTTTGGGGGTTTTTTAAATCCATATTTTGGTCATCGGGATATCTAGACACCCTAGCAGTAGCCTATTTTATAGGGACAATTCTGATATTTGGGGCTTTGCTTTATATAGGTGCCTATTACTCCCCCACCCCGTACCGATTTTTCACACTTGCTGTCTGGTCACCCTAGCTACTGCATAGTATTTCTGTAAGGCTTAGTCAGCATTAGATAAAACAATTGAGTAATATCCATGTAGGTTTTAGAAATATTTTCCTAGTGGCTGGTATTTTTTTTTCTTGGTTTGTTTTATTTTGCTTTTCTGTTTCTTGCTGTTTGTAATTCACTGTGGTATTAAATGGATTTGAATGCAAATCATCTTTGAAGCATAAGCTTGAATAACTGTTGGTTTTGCCTTTTGAGTGAATTGCATCATGAGTTGAGGGAAAGTCCCTGTCCGTCTTAGTGTTATTGATATGCGAGTTCAGTTACATAGAGCATATTGCCATCACAGAGCAGATTTCAAGGATTAGCTTGTGCATTCCTAAATCTATATTTCTGTTCATGTGACAAAACAGAGATGCACAAATTCAGAATTCAGTTACAAGACTTAGTTAAAATATTTTATCTACTTTTATTTTCCTTTTAAATATTTGAAGATTTTTCATTCATAGGTGGCTTAATTATGAAAATTGGCTGCAGTTAGAATTACTGAATAACCCGCTGGTCATTTCTGTTTCCAGAGAAATTTTGTAACTGCTTTTGCCTTGATTTTTACCATTATTGCAACAGTTTGTGGATACTAGCCAAATATTTATAGGTTAATCTCATTTTTGTAGGTATTTATACCCTGTCAAACTACCCCAACAAATTAAAAAAATTAAATGTAACCATTCACAGCACTTCTTTCAATATGTCCTGAATTTATGAGCATACAGTTTAGTTAGTTTGTACCTAACTAGCCATGAATGTCCTACTGTAGGCTTATCTAACAATATTCTTTTATGAAGAGTAATTATTGTATTTGACACAACGGGTCTAAAGACCACAGTAATCTCCCCCAGACAACATTCTAAACCACGTTGCATAAAACTTCAAAATTACTTTGCTCCTCCTTCAGCTTGAAGAGACAGAAATAAACCATTATATGCATTGGATCAGAAGCGAATGAGAATTGTGCCTAATATGCCAGCTCTAAATTTTGCCCCACGCCTTTTCCCATTATATCACCATATATATATATATGTTGAGATTTGTCTTTTGAAAAGCAGCGCATAGTTTCTCTCCCCACAACCCACTGAACTTTTAGGAGTGGCTTTTTTAAAATGGAAACATCAAAGCGACTTTGGATGACCCAAGAGAACATTTAGCATAACATTTAATTTCTTTGTTCCTTTGGGAAGTGAGCAGTGACTCCTTTGGCATTCCCTGAAACACTTCTTATGCCTGGGGAATAACAAGTTCTGTCTTGCAGTGTTCTACATTTCTGTAATTCATACATGCCATCAGAATTGGAATGATTCTAGTGTGTAAACACAGCACGTCTTAAGCATTCTTTTGCTAGAGTGTTAAAGATTGTTAGATTGTCAGAAATTCTAGAGGAATCACACTTCACCCTGAGTGCCTTTTTCCCCCACTATAAAGCTATTTCTTTGCAATTAAAGTGCTTTTTAAGAGCATATTTGGGCTTGTCCAGCATTAGCCACTTCTGGCTTAAATGTTATACATTTTTTTTAGGTTTCAAAGTGATAGCCGTGTTAGTCTGTATCAGCAAAAACAACAAAGAGTACTTGTGGTACCTTAGAGACTAACACATTTATTTGGGCATAAGCTTTCGTGGGCTAAGGTGCCACAAGTACTCCTCATTGTTTTTACATTTTTTTAGTCGCACATACAGGGTTTGATCTTGCAGTTTCTTCCAGGAGGTACTTGCATGTGAAGGGTACAGGGATTGGCCCAGTGTTTCAGTGGCATGTAAACCCAAGTTCGATATTTTTTTTTTAATATTTTTTTTTAACTTTGTATAGCTATCTGCCTGTCAGTCCTATTCTTCTCCACTGTGGTTGTATTTCAGTTGCTGTATATCTTGTAAATTTGTTGATCACAATTACAAGTGTTAGCATACATCTTAAGTTTGGTCTCTTATCAAGGTACAGGTTATAAGGTATCCATGAAATAGATTCTGAATAGTTCTAAAGTCTAACAGAATTTGCTTCTCAAACTTCAGTTCTAGAGTGCTAAATGACAAGCATAGTTTAATAAAATACAAAAAAGGGTAAGTAGACACCTTCAGCTTAAAATTTGTGATTTACAGTAGTGTGGGCTAATGCAGAGTAGTAGCTGCATAACAATTTCTTTGATTTTGTTGAATTAAGTTGATTCTAATTTTTAAAAAACAGTACTAGTGTAGATAACTCATAGTGGATGGAAGCCAAAATAGAGATGACCTCCTGTTTGCTCACCCTGTTCTTGATTGGTGTTTACTCTAGTAAGTTTGCAGGCTTTTCAGTTCTGATAAGATATTGGTGGTCTTTTAATTCTTCAGTGGACATCATAATAGCCTTTTTGGACTAGACATTTAATAGAACTATAGTGTGTGCATTCCAATAATAAAAGGGAGTGACTAACTTCTTGCCAACCTTCAGATCTTTGAAACTATGTTGGAGTCTTTTTTGGAGAGAACAGGTAGTTTCACACACTGTTGTGTGAACTTGATAGTCTTGTCTTGTTTGGAGACTTTTGCAAAGTGATTCAGGAAAAACTCTAGGACTTTTTGACTCTATTGTCTCCTCCATCTCTACTAATGTTTCTTTTTTTCCCCCCCTCCTTCTCCCCCAGTTATCACCATGTCCACAGATGGTGGCTTTGGCGCCGCTGGCAGTAGTGATGCTCAGCAAAGCCTGCAGTCTTTCTGGCCTCGGGTCATGGAGGAGATTCGAAATCTAACAGTGGTAAGAGAGTGTCCTTTGACAATGTGATAAAACCTTAAGAAAATGTTTAGTACAACAGGAGTTACCTGTTACTTCAGTGTCTTATAGTGAAATATTTAAAAAAACCAACTACATTTGGCCAAATTCTTCTTTCAGATATGTACAGATAAGTCCCTTTGGAGTCAACAGTCGAATTAGTGCATAAGTATCTCAAGGCAGAACTTGGCCCCATGCAAGAAGCTTCCTAGCTCAACTGGGGGGTTAGAAAATGAGCATCATGTAGCTGAAGTGAGCTGATTTGTCTAAATGTACGCTTTTACCAACATTTGGGATGTAGCTCAGCGATTAATGAAATCAAATTTACATATTTCATAGTTTATGGAGACACAATAGTCATCCATTATAAATAGTTTTCCAGATTAAACCAAAACCTTTTAGGGGAGAGAAAAATGGAATCAAAAACTGTTTCATATAGAGAGTTGTAACTTAATTTCCTAGAAGGTTTCAAAGGTATTCAAAACCTTTGGAAAAAAGCAGTTTTGAAACAAATGTACATGAATGGTTGTGGATTCTATCAGGATACTGGCTGCCTTTGATTAACTGACGGTCAAGTGATTGGGAATATGTGTTACAGAATGTACTTACTGCTGTTTGAATTCCATAATGTAAAATGGCGACAGTGCTTCTAAATTTGTATACACTTTTGATCCATAGTTGCCACATTCTAGCAAACAATATATATCACTGTTAAGATGTTTCCCAGAATTAAGGAAAATCTGTAGATGGAAGATTGATTTTTATTTTCTGTTTCCAGAATAGGGCTTACATTTTGTCATATTTTATTTGAAACTTGCTTGCTGACTTGGTACATTCAAAAAATCATATTTTATATCTTTTAAGTTTCACTAGTAGCAACACTTATAGCTTTAGTGCCAGGGCTAAAAAAAATTTTCTGTTGCAAAGTATATCTGGGGGGATCAGGGCTACGTGTTTCCCCAATACTTAGTGGAAATCCATTAGCTTCTTCCTTCGCCTGATTACATCACTTTGAAACAGACTGGTAGTAGGGCCTCTGCCTTTCCCCTACCAGTTTTCCTGTACAGTTGTGAAATCCACTGAGGAAGAAGTACACTTGTGCAACATTATTGGTTAGAATTTAAATGCACAAATTTCAGGATATTTAGTTATGGCTTCTTCAGTAATTACTTATTTCAGAATATTCAATGTTCTCTAGACCAATTTAGTTTAATCGATGATATTTCTACACACTTCTCACTTTGATATCTAAGCACCAATATCAATGTGATAGGCAGTGTAGGGCTCAGTATACCCATGCTCTCGCTTGTGCATAGCTAGACCAGTGCATCTTGGTGTGTTATCTTCTATTTTTCAAATAAAATATGTTCATGATTTTCTATCCTACATCATTATATAAGCGTATTCCTATTGAAGTTCGCAGGTATTATGGATGTGATTCTGAGGGTGGAATTTTGATAAACTTTCCTTTCAAAGGTATTATACCCACTTTAAGAATTAATTTGGCAAGTGTGAAGTTTTAAAAATAACCTGAACACAAAGTGCACAATATTTAACAAACACACACACAAAAAAACCCTACACTTTTCAAATGCTTAAATAACGCAGAGCTGAACAGAATTTTGTCAGATTTATTTTTAAAAATTTCGTCTATAGGCTGAGAATGAACAAGAAAGATTTCACCGCCCGATTTTTTTCCACTTAAAAGATAAGCCTCTGAGAATAAGGGCATATAACAAAAATGCCTTTTCAAGAACAACTGACATCTCTACTACGACATTACAGTAGTCTGTCCTAAATGCCGACTTTTCTGGTTTTAATTTAAATTAGCTGAAAACAAAAGGGCTCAATTTGAAGATCGTCCATTTGAAATGAAGAACCCTGTCCTGATACAGTAGTCTAAAGATAAGCTTCCCCTTTCGGCATGTTATACAGTCTCAGCTCAAAGAAACAGATGTAGCAATCTGTATGCAGAGACCAGAATTAATTACTTTGATCCCTTCCTGCACTGAGCTCTTATGTGCGAGAGCTATAGTTTGTCTTCATCTGCATGTGGTAAGGGTTTATTCTACAGCTCACCTAGTATGGGCAATTTAATTTCTAACACTGCTGTCATGTGAATCTATTTATTGCATTGCAAGTTAGAAAAATGTTGAATGCCGAGTTGTAAGCTTCTGCCTGAATGAAAATTTTTAATAAGGACTGTAGGGGAAAAACAATTATAAAACAGTCCTATCTAGCCACCCTGCACGTAATCAGGCACTGAAATTATTATGTCTAGTAAAGCCAACCACTGAGTGCTGCAGCATATGTGGACCGGGGCAAATTTGAGAATTCATTTACATGTATTTGTGTAGTGGGGGGTCAAAGCAGTTACCTGAGGTACAAACTGTTCTGGTTGACTGCTCTTTGAGACAATCTTTATTTCTGTTCTTGTGCTTTTGTGGTGTGCACACTTTAGCTAGAATTCTGGGGAAAAGGGGAACAGTTTAAGAATGTTTTTTTCCCATAAAACACAGAGAAATGCAGCCTAATCTTGGAGAAACTGTAGAAAATAGTACTAATGATACATTACAGCTTCAGAATTAAGTTAGAAGAGGCTTGGTGAAAATGTTGATGCTTAATTTGGAAAAAGAAAAGGTGAAGAATCGATTCCTAAATCTTGTTTAGCTGGGTAGTAGCCAGACAACATGTCATGCTTCTCTTAAACCAAAATAAATAGACAATATATGCAATGTCTAATAGCCATAGTACTTATTTACAGGAATAAAATAGATTTCCCCCCTAAAAATAACCAAATATAAGGTGTTATTCAGCTGTGGCAGGACTTAGAGAAGAATTGTATCACTATGAGTTTTCCTGCAAAGGATTCACAGATCTGCACAGAAGTCATAACTAATTCAAAGATTCTAGATAATAAGGCTGGAAGGGACCACTGTGACTATCTAGCTTGACCTCCCACATAACGTAGACCATTGGACTTTCCTAAATTAATTCCTGTTTGAACTAGCGCATATCTTTTAGAAAAACATCCAATCTTGATTTAAATTGCCAGTGATGGAGAAGTTGTTCCAGTGGTTAATTACCCTTTCTGTTTTTAAAAAAAAAATAAAAAAAAAATTGTACCTTATTACCAATCTGAATTTGTCTGGCTTCAGCTTCCAGCCATTGGATCTTGTGAGTTAGACAGTTGTCTGCTAGACTGAAGAGCCCATTGTCAATTTTTTGTTCCCCATGTAGGTATTTGTAAACCGTGATCTAGTCACCTCTGAACCTTCTCTTTGTTAGGCAAAATAGATTGAGCTCCTTGAGCCTTTCATTCTTCTAAGGCATGTTTCCTGGCTCTTTGAACTCTTTTTCCAATTTATTTACATTCTTCTTCAATTGTGGATACCAGAACTAGATACAATTTTCAGGTAGCAGTCGCATAGTGCCAAATACAGAGGTGATACAACTTCTCTGCTCCTACTCGATTATTCCCCTGTTTATACATGCAAAAATTGCATTAGCCCCTTTGGCCACAGCTTTGAACTGGGAGCTCACGTTCAGCTGATTATCCACCAAAGCTTCCAAGTCTTTTTTAGAATCAGTGCTTCGCAGGATAGAGTTCCACATCTATGTTCTTTGTTCCTATATGTGCAACTTTACATTTGGCCCTATTAAAATGCATTTTGTTTGCTTGTGCCAAGCTTACTGAGCAACCTGGATCGCTGTGTATCAATGACCTGTCCTCTTCCCCAATTTTCGTGTCATCTGCCAACTTTATTGGTAACGGCTTTGTTTTCTTCCGGGTTGTTGATAAAAATGTTAAATATCATACGGCCAAGAACTGATCCCTGTGGGACCTCTTTGATGATGATTGTTTGTCGACATTTAGATTGAGATCTGTCACGTGAGCAGTTTTTAACCATTTAATGTGTGCCATGTTAATTTTATATTTTATGGCATGTGGTACCAAGTCAATTAGTAGTTTTGCCAACCCCAAGAGTTCAAAAATTGAGTCAAAACTCTAAAAAATCATGACATTTGCATAAAAATCATGTTTTTAAACGACAAATCATGTTTTTATTTGTCTTTGGGTTTTTTTTTTAATAGCCCTTCCCATTAATGCCGAATGTGTGCTAAAAATTCAACTTTAAATGCACCTCAAATGTGCGTGCACAGAAATGCAGGTCCTGGTTTCCTTTGCTTGATCCCCACTTCTTCTCCCCTTGACACACATTGCCCAGAGACCTCGCTTCCCACTGGCAGGTTTGTGCAGTCCTCCCTCTCCACTTTCACAACCTCCTAGTTCCTAGTCATCTAGCAAACTCCAGCAGCTGCCCCCTAGTCGCCAGCCTGCAGGGGAGAGGTCTTCCCCTGGCCTCTCACCTCCATGAGCTATCCTTTTTCTGCACAGTCTGTCGTGGGGGTGGGTGGGGGAGAAATGAGCAAGATCCATGAGGCTGAGCTTGGAGTGCGGCCTGCTCCAGGGCCCAACGCCTGTACTGCAGGCAGCAGCTATGCCGTCTATTGCACAGCATCATTCCGCAGATGGAGGGGGAAATGATCTAGTCTATAACAATTTGAATGGCTAGGAAAAGTGGATAAGAGGGTAAACATCAAGTGTTTGTAGTTACATTACCTTGGAGAATAAAAATCGTTGCCTCTTACAGGAGACAGATACACTGTTTAAAGCAGAAAGGGCCAATTTTGAATTCTTCTGAACATCACTTATCTCTTACTTTCGTTTTGAATTATGTATAGTTGAACAGTTTATGAAGTCTCCTTTTTTTTGCTCTCTGCAGAAAGACTTCAGAGTGCAGGAACTCCCACTGGCTCGTATTAAGAAGATTATGAAACTGGATGAAGATGTGAAGGTAAATTCATATTTGGTCTTTTACGCTGTGAAACAAAACATACAGTTATGAACCCTGCTGATGAGCACTATAGATGTCATTTCTCTGGGTTGCAGTGTATGTAAGAAAAACAACCTTATTGTTCTTGAAATCTGTAGAAGAATTAAAATACCCCATCAGCTATCAGAACAATTTCACAGTTCGTGCTGTGAAAAGCCCCCTAGAAACTGGAGTGATCGTTTCTTTTTGAGGAGTGCTCTAAAATGATAAGTGTGTGTGTCAAATGAAGTAGGCCAAGTTAGGTGCCTCATACAGCCTTCTCGGTTTAGGTACTTATATGGCCACTGTCACCGCAGTGTCTAAGTGGCTTCACAAGAATTAATGAGTTAACCCTGAGAGGAATGGAAGTAATATCTCCATTTTACATATAGGGAACCGAGGCACAGAGAGTTGACATGCTAAAGGTCAGACAGGAAGGCTGTAGGAAAGCCAGGAGTTGAATTGGACTGTTGAGTCCCAAATCAGTTCCTTACCCACAGTATCATCCTTCCTCCCAACACATTAAAGTCTGGAGATTATTTATTGACCTATAGAGAAGAGGTGCTCAGGATGCCTTACGGAGATTAGTTGACTGCACCATTGTGGCGGCTGCAGCTGTTAGCAGCTTGATAGATTTCACAGTATTTTTCAGATACATTGTTGGACAACTGTTTTCATTACTTAACTAGCTTGTATAGCAGGGCACATAATTTGTACATTTTGCATTAAAAACAAATTTCCTGACCATGTCTTGAATAAAGCATTTCCAGATAACTTTCAGTCTTTTCCCAGTTCTAGTAATGACTAGCTTCTGTCTCTGTTTTCATATCTCCTCCTTATTTCTGTGGCTTTTGCGTTCACAGAACTACAAAATCATTTAATATAAACATAGTAACATTTAAAAAAGCAACCGCCCTACAAAGGTATTTCAAATATTAGTACAAAACATCATATTTTACATTTTATCACAGAAGTGTGGCCTTTGACATTTCATAAATTTTAGATCTGAACCCTTGAAACAAGCAAACTAAGAAATCAGTATTTATTTGGCATGTGATGGAGGCAAGTTCTACAGTCGTCATCCATATGGGGATAAGGGCATGCATAGGTCTAAGGGGAAATCTGGCACATCTACTCCTATAACAGGAAAAACAAAAAAACCTACTGTAAATATCTGGGATTTTTTTTTCTTTTTTTTTTTTTTTGTTACTTATCCAATGATCTTTTTGCCTTAAATTAGAAGATTTTATGGGATGCCAATTTCCAAGAGAGTTCATGGGGCCAATGACTTCCATCCTTTTTTTTGTGAATACCACCCGTAGGTTGGGAGACTTTAACATTTAAATACGCTCAGTGAAAAAGGTGTGTTCTTTGGCTCCGTTTGTTAACGTAGAGACATTTTTTAAACTTTGAACCAGATTGAATCCAAGCCTCTTGAGTCTCAGTTCAGTGCCTTAACTAAATTAATGCCAAATTCCCTGTAATGACGGGGAAAGGGAGATGGAAAGTAAATAATATTGTTTCCGGGTGGCCAGTTTTTAACAGGAAGGAGATTATCCAGGGAAATAAGCCTAATACAAAGGTAGCTAAAGTGAAACAGTTCTAATAGAAAGAGAATTTGAGCCAGATTCTGTTACGAAAACGAAATTTGGTGAGACTTGCGATTTATTCGTTTATTTATTTTAAATCTTTACAATCCGTTTTTACTCTGCCTGTATTCTTTACCTTAAGGCTGGTCCACACTAACCCCCCACTTCGAACTAAGGTACGCAACTTCAGCTACGTGAATAACGTAGCTGAAGTCGAAGTATCTTAGTTCGAACTTACCGCGGGTCCACACACGGCAGGCAGGCTCCCCCGTCGACTCCGTGTACTCTCTCGCGGAGCAGGAGTACCGGCGTCGACGGCGAGCACTTCCGGGATCGATCCCAGAAGATCGATTGCTTACCGCCGGACTCGGAGGTAAGTATAGATGTACCCTGAGTATGTAAGTCATTTTGTAAATGACTATTGATAGCTTCTGACTGTAAGGACTAGATTTTTAAATGAGGCCTCAACCTGGCCTCTAAATTTGTGCCCTTGTTGCACAAACAAAATTTGCACATATAAAAATGATTCATGTGCAAGTTTAGTAGATTACTAACTACCCAGTTTCACACATACTGATGCCATATGCTCCTGCAAGTTAGGGGTTTTGTGAGCATAAAGTTGAAACAGGTGCTGAAAACTTGGCCCTAAAATGTTAATTGTAACCTAAACTTCCACAATACATATTATATCGTCTACGATAAATTAGCTTGAAAAGTAGTGAGAGCTGCTGGGATAGATTATCCTCCATCAAAGTGAAAGAAAAAACTATTAACCTGTGAATGGAAGGCCTGTCTAGCATGTGAATTGTTAGTAGAGTTTCACTTCTGTTGTTAAAGAGTAAAATTGACCAAAACTTTGTGTTAGCATAGGGTAAGCCAGTGAGCTATGCAAAATTAAAATCTGATAACCTTCATATTTCAATAAATAAACTTATCAGGAAAATTGTAACTGACCAGTATTCCTGTTGTACAGTGCTTGATTGAAAACTGGTAGCCCTTTGTACTTCCACATCTTGCAATGAGATGGCCTTCAGATGTAATGTGGAAATCCCCTAATCTCCCAAACTACCATTTTATTCATCCCTGGACTATTTATCCGTTAATATGATACCAAGCTTCTATGATAGAATCAAGTGTAGTACATTGATTGATGAGTGAATGAAATGCACATTTTTCATTACAGATGATTAGTGCTGAAGCTCCTGTGCTGTTTGCCAAGGCTGCTCAAATATTCATAACAGAATTGACGCTACGGGCATGGATACACACTGAAGATAACAAGCGGAGGACTCTGCAGGTAATGGAGAGCTATTTCCATGAAACCTTGAACTGCCATGTCCGTGTTTTCTGACCCCTTTTACTTTCTAAATATGAACCTTATGCAGCCTTAAAACTCCCTGTCAGAAGGGAGTGAGACAGGGGTCCCTGACCAGAGACAGGTGATGGCTAGAGACCGGATACCTGACTAGGAACTCCTGGGGTGTACCACAGAGGAGGGGATACAGGTGCAATACCCTGCAGCTGTAACAGTGCCCCTTTAAAATATACTATACCTGTGGAACAGAGATGAAAATGCTTTTTTTCCCTTACTTTCTTCATGGCTACTGTTGGCACTTAGATGCCAAGGTGATACATGCCCTCAAATGCCCCAGATAAGTTGAAGTGTGAGGATTGATAGCCCTTCTAATTTTTATCCTAGGTAACATCAGAAAGGGCAAATATCTCAATCCTGTTGTGCTCATGTATACTAGCTTCAGTGAATTTCTCCTAATACCAAATAAGACCTTTCCTTTTTCTATGATTCCTGGAACTAGACCCAGGATTTTTAAAGATGTCTTACAGCTTTGGTCATCATATGGTCGTCTATTATAGAAGTAGTTTTTAATGACAAATTACCAGGTAGTTTAAAGGAGCTATCAAATCCCTCCACCCCCATTCTTCTTTTCTGCAGACTAAACAATCCCAGTTCCCTCAGCCTCTCCTCAGAAGGCATGTGCTCCAGCCCCCTAATCATTTTTGTTGCCTCTCCGCTGGACTCCAGTATTTCTACATCCTCCTTGTAGTGTGGGGCCCAAAACTGGACACAGTACTCCAGATGAGGCCTCACCAATGCCGAATAGAGGGGAATGATCACGTCCCTCGATCTGCTGGCAATGCTTCTACTTATACAGCCCAAAATGTTGTTGGCCTTCTTGGCAACAAGGGCACACTGTTGACTCGTATCCAGCTTCTCGTCCACTGTAATCCCTAGGTCTTTTTCTGCGGAACTTCTGCCTAGCCACTCGGTCCCTAGTCTGTAGCAGTGCATGGGATTCTTCCATCCTAAATGCAGGACTTGGGGAAGGGGTGGAGTGGGGGATGGAACTTCTTTTTCTTCAAATGTAAATAAACGTCAGTAGGCTTGGGGGGTCTGCGGAAAAATTTTAAATCAAAATGGGGGTCCTCGGGTTGCTAAAGTTTGAGAACCACTGTCATAAACCATAGAACTTACACTCTAGGAATTATTTTGGTCGATGTTTTTCTAAAAGATCCAGTCTTGATTTTAAAATGTTCATCAACGGTTCTTCCCCTAAAAACTGAACCCAGTGAGGTCTTGTGTACTCTAAGAAAACCTGTGTCACTTGGGGTGTGAAAAATCCACGCCATGGAGTGATGTAGTGAAGCAGACCTAACCCCCGGAAAAATTCTTCAATTGACCTAGCTACCGCCTTTCGGGGGGAGGATTACCTAGGTCGATGGGAGAGCTCCTCTCTGAGATGTGAGGGGATAATTTTGCCATTACAGATCATCTTATTGCTTGTGGTGGCTCACGGTTTGCATGATTCTCTCATTCTGCTTGCCTGCCCTCTGCTGTTTCTGAATTAATAGTACTAGTTATGTGAATGGGACCATTTGGGGCTTCAAGGATGAGAATTCAGTTCCATATGATGGGCATTCCCAACTTTTATTTTACTCAGCAACCAAACAGATAGATAGTTTTAAAACTGACAGATTATTTCCATTGTTTTTGAATTGTTACAGAGGAATGATATTGCCATGGCAATTACAAAGTTTGATCAATTTGACTTTCTCATCGATATTGTTCCAAGGGATGAACTTAAACCTCCAAAACGTCAGGTGAGTTGGGAAAACGGCTACTACTATTCTTTACATATAAGTTTGATTTTTCCACTATTTACATACTTCTGATATTAAATAGTAATATAAAGTGAGGTTCAAACATAAGGCAAGTACAGTTTATTGTAGGTTTGTGTTCAATATTTGTTTCAATCTCTTAGACATTTAGTTTTTTCTGTATTCTCAATGTGAACATTGCTGTTGCCAGTGCCTCAGAGATGTAATTGGGTACATTTTAGAAATCTAAAATCTAACGTGTCCTGAACACTCCAGTGGGGATTGCATAAAATGGAACATTCGTTATCCTCTCAGTAGGCACAGTTGTGTCTGTGTGTGGTTACACCAGATACTTCCTCCCGTTGAATGAAATCTGAGCTCAAGATCCACATTCCTTCAACCACTGAAGTCCACAAATTTGTTGTCTTTGTAAACGTTTCTCCTTAAAAGTTTGTAATTGGCTTTACTTTAGAGGGGCCAAATGACTGCCTGTATAGAAATTATTACAAAGAAATGTCCATGGGGAGGCAGCACAACCTAGTGGGTAGAGCACTTGCTCTGCTCCTAGCTTGCTGGATGATCTTAACAAGCCATTTACCTCTCTCTGCTTCAGTTTCCCAACTGTAAAATGGGGTAACGATATTTTCTGGTAATTTTTTTTTTTTTTTTTTAATCTTTGAGATTTACTGATGAAAACCCTATATAAGAGCGGGGTATTATTAAAAAGATTGAAGCTTTTTTTTTCATTTTCGCATTTCCTCATTCTGTCACTTTCAAGTGTCCAGTTGTCGCTTGAGCAGGTTATATGATGAAAACAAAACTTGTGCACCTACTGGTAACTGATTTAAAAGTGAAAACTGGTATGAGACTGATCTACGTAATTGCTGGTTGACAAGGCTGCTAATAGAGGTTACAAATAACAAAAGTTGCTAACATTAAGAATGCTTAAACATCTAGAAACCTGTTGAGCTAACACTTCAAGGCTGTTGGAGAAGAAGGAAACCTGTTGCTTCCCGTAGAAGTACCACATTCTGCATTTTTCTGGGCAGTCATTGCTACTGTAAACATCCTTGACTGGAAGCTGTAAGGTGCTAGAAGGGAGCTTTCAGTCGGATGTTTACAGCGGCAGGCTGCCACAGTCATCCTGAGCACCAGGCCTGCTTTGAAACGTAACAGGTTTGTATTTAAGAAGCACTGGTTTCTCTGCTCAAGCCCAATTTTGCTGCTTCAGAAATCCAACTTTCTGCTAGACCAGTTTATCACCTTTTGTCTAAAAGGCTTATTTTCCTCCACCGTTGTACCAAGCTGTAGATATATGTAGCTGTTCATCTAGGTCCAGCGGTCAGACTACTGAACCTCCCTTCTCTACAACCTGCCTGGTAGACTAAACAGCTAGATTAACACCCAATGCCATAAAGCTTTCTAGGTAATTCTTAGTTTTACAGATGATGCTTCATTCAGTACCTTGTTCAGTAGCTCCTGGAATCATTGTCTGACTTCCTTTTAAATTGTGTGGAGTTCGTCACTCCTTTCTTTCTGGATAATTAGGTCCATTGTTTTGTAGGTGGTGGAGCAAATGATTTACTTATCTGGAACTGCAACTTCTGAAGGTTTGAGATTGCCTAAAGCTTTGTGGCAAGTCCATGATAACCCTTATAATTCTCTGCTCCAACTTATTCTCACTCTTCCCAGAAGTGCTATAAAACAGCCTGCTTTCTTTGACGTAGATCCCAGCAGATGTATCACTAGGAGATTTTCTGTCCTCCATTGATTCCAAGGAGGCTTACCTTCACATGCCAGTGCGAGTAATATACAGAAAATTCCTTCACTTTGGATACAAAGAGCAGCACTTTCAACATAGAGCCTTAACCTTTGGGCTGGCATATTTACCCTTTTCTTGATGACCTCCTGTCATCTGGGCCCAACCACGTTCCCTGTCATTTCTTGGAAAAGCATGGTTTTCTTGTGAACAGAAAAAGGTCTGCTGCTAGCCTCATCCCATTATATATACTAGTATTTGAGAGTGGTAGTAGAACATCACTTATTAGAAAGTATTCATTCAGGAAAGACCTAGAAGATTATCTGCTATAGGAAAAAATTCAGCAACCTCCCATGATTTCTGTACATGTTTGATGGGACCATGTTCTGTATATATTTGCTCACATGGTGAATGCCACATATGAGAATGTTGCACAGGTTCCTTCAGTCCCTTCCCACAGAGCTGCCTGCTCATCCTTATACAATATAGCAAAGTAATGATTCCTTTGAAGCGAATTTGTTTGCTACTGTGGTATGTAAAGAACAGCTTTTCAAAGATGCACCCTAAACAAGAGCCATCTAGGAAAGAAAAATCTGTGCATGTCAGTTTGGAGGATGGGGGGCCTGCATCTCAGGAAACCTGGCAAAATCAGGAAAATTGGTTCAGCATAAACATGTTGAAACTAAAAGCAGTGAGTAACAGCCTGAGATAACAAAAGCCAATCAAGATTCCTAAGAGTTCATGTTCAATTCCCCTACTCTGTGATTCTACACAGTGGTGCCTTTATGGCCCTATCCAGATAGCATAGTGAAAACACCCAAAATATGTACACAGCATTGTTCACTCATTTGACCTTTCACTTCACCGTGAAAAAGAAGCCTCTGTAGAAGTCATGTTTGTAATCTGCCTAAGTCCAAAATATGAAGTCACTTCAATAGTACATTATCTCACCAAATGCAAATAACATCGTTACTGTATAATCCATGGTAATTCTTCTTTTTGATCAGTATTGCCAAAGCTTCCCCATCCGGATTGCACAGCATAAATAACTGAAACTACATCAATATTTGTTTTGAAATAGGTCGCAATTTCTCAAAGCTGTATATTCCCTGCCTCTGTGAACACTGCTGGATGACTAGCAATCCATGTTCAGGGGTGGGAGAGCTTTGGTGGATGATATAATTGACAAAGTAGGGAAGGAATTTTCAGTGGAGAAAAACACATCAAGTTCAACAACTTTGAAGAGTAGCTGTCTGTAGGCTGAAGGGCTTGCATTTATTTATTTATTGCTAAGGCTAAAACTGGTAGTCTATCTCTGCCACAGCTAAGACTGTCTGACAAGTTATTGTTCATTACATCAAAGAGTTGGGGGAGAAACTGTCACTGTTGTGTTGCTGTGGTAACTGAAGTTACGGATTTAAAAGAAAAAGTATGACTACATTTGTGGTAGTGTGTAGAGTACAAAAACTGCATGCCCAGCTGTCTTGGATAGATCTAGCAGTGTAGACAGCGAGGCAAGGTTTAGGCGAGTAGAGTGCCCTACACACCTGAATCCCCAGGGTATATACGCCCAGGGTGTATATTGTTAGCAGTGTAGCATCCTGATGCTGGAGACTTTCCCTGACACAGTGACGGGCTCTGGCAGTGGGAAAAGGCTTCAGCAGCTCCCCATTGCCAGAGCCTGTCTCCACTGAGCCACCCCACTAGAGCCTTTCGCTGCAGCATGTAGCCATGTGCATAGTGCCTGTACTCTACAATGCTGCCTCAAGTGTGGACATAGCCAAAGAGACAGCCTGGTTTAAACAAGACATAACCTGGTTTAAACAAGTTCAGATTTAAATCAGTTTCTGCCCGGAGCACTATAAAACATTAACCTAGAATGCATGCTTTATTGAGGTGCAGAGTTGATTTAAATGTTGTTCAAGAGCTCAGTTAGGAATTTGAGTGTTGCAATCCTTGGAATAGGAGATCTAAGTAGTTTGCTGTAAAGAAACTGCTACAGCTTTCCTCCCCCGTGCATGGATTTTTCATGACTGGATCAGGACAGACTTGATTTCAACAACAAAATGGAATATGTTCTAAATTTAGAGCAAAGATCCTCACGCTGCTCACAAAGAGCTTGAGGAAGCCAAGTTAAAATACTCCAGTGAATTCACTCATGAAAGAGGAACTGTAAAACTAAATCAGTGGGGTGTTCTGTCTGCATTACCATTGGGTGATGCTGACGTTACTGTTCACACCAAGATTCAAGCTCAGCAGCTCTTTCTTTCCTAGCTACAACAGGCTGTGTAAGTTTTAGTTTTGGTTGGGAAAAGAGTGTGTGTATTTAAGGAAAGGGCTTGATAATACATTACACTTGCATTTTATAGAGTTCAATCAAATATATATA